AATCATCGGACGGAAGATCTTCCTCTCTGTCTTTCCTCTCTGTATATCTGCCTTTCCAATAAAAACATAATAAAAATAAATCTTTAAAAAAAATAAATTAAAAGTCTTTTATTAAAAAAAAAACACAAAAAAACCCTTTACATTTTGTGAGCTGAAAGAACAAAGTGGAGAAACAAGGAGGGGAAAAAAAAACCTTCAGACATTGTGACTCTGGTGACAAGCTAGTTCCCTCCTGTTTGCTGCTTTTTATAATAATAATAATAAAAACACAAAATAAAGTAAAAATCTCCTTAAATTAGAATTGTTATTGCTTGTGTCATCCTTATCAGTTCAAGAGAATGTGTTTAGATGATCACTGAGAAGTAAGGAATTTGGTCTCTTTCAAAGTAATTTCTGTCCTTATTCTAGAGATTCTGATAATAGGAATGTCTTTATTAGTGTTGTTTTGTCCATAGATCACACTGAAAAGCTTTGCATAAAAGAGATGACCCATGATGAAACCTTACAGCCTGACATCAACTGTATCTTCAGAGAAAGGCTGAGATTGGAGAATGAGTTCAACTATGTGGGCAAGGAATGAATAAATCACGCCAGCTAATAAGACTTCAATAAAAATCTAAGCCCCAAATCCTGGCCCTAGGAAAAAATATCCATGTGCCCACTGCCAGAAAACACTGGAAGCCCTTGTTTGGATTTCTTCTGTTGTAAATACAACTGTGAGTCATGATTTCTTTTTAATAAATTATCTTTTTAGTAAATTATCAAACCTGAGGATGGATTTGAGAAACCCCTAAATTTGCAGTCACCAAAATATTCCAATCCAGAGGAAACGGAACTCTCAGGTAACTGAAGACAATTTATTTCTTTCTTGAAATTTTCTGGATTCATTCCTACCTTGAAGAAATTCTCTTTTTAAGAATAGTACTAACTAGTCATTATCTCTGTTGAAAAGTAGAAATAACTGTAAGATTTAAAATTTAAGAAATATTTGCATAGCATTTGGATCTGAAGACTGTCATATATAACAAATCAAGTACCTAATGCAAAAAAAAAGTAAAGCTTTTCAGTTAGTGCTTTTCATGAGAAATTATCAAAAGTAACTTTTTAAAATGCTGATTGATATCCCTATTTCAGTGATCTTTCTAAAAATAGTATTTTGTATAAGGTTACTTCATTGGTAGAGATGGGAATAAAGTCTTAAATGTTGCTTATCACATTTGATCTTTGTACTAGACAGTCATAATGAAAACAATTAGAATCAAATTATTTAGAAAATAAAAAGCAAATTATTGTAATCACATAACCTTGAGCAAAGATATTTTATTTAAAACAAGAAAAGTTGAAGCTGTTACCATCATACAATAGAGAAACTTTAACTGATTTAAATAAAACCCAGTCTTTCATAAAAACATAGATTTGCGAGAAAGAAGAGCACATATGACAAAGGTGACTGCAGAGGCAGGGGAAAGATCAATGACTGTTTTGTAATATAAAGAGGACAGACTATTCATGAGTTCCAGACACAGATAAAAAGCAAAACAAGGAAATATAGGAAAACATTTATATAGTTATTTACAAAAATAATCTATTTCGATAAATCTATTAAATAGGTAATAATGGATACCAAAAAGATGAGAAATTTATCGATTAAAAACCCATTTAACAATCAGTTTATACATTCCTTTTGAATTATGTTCATAAAAACTTTAAATATACAAATCACATTCCCAAACACCCAAAGAACTTTCTGAACAAACAGGATACAGATACAAATTTGTTATCTAAATCACCTTTAAAATGTTTTTTAAATGACAGTAAATAATTTAGCTTGCAATAGTTAATTAATTAAAACATTAACAAGATATAATTTATTTTGTGATAGTTAATGAAAACAACAAAATGACAATTATATACAATTGTATAAGTCTCAAAAAGTTCAATGAGGGAACAATGATGCCATATTAATTAAATAAGGTACTGTTCACTAATATTTCTTTATAAATACTTACTTTGTTAGATAAAGGATTTGAAAAACAAATGTTGAAACAACTAAAAATAAAATTAAAGTTACTCTTAAAATATCTTAAATTTCCCCATGTGTTTACAGTTGCAAATTATAGAAATATCATACAGAAGTTAATTATTTGGTCAAGCAAGGCACACAGGACCAGATTTTGAAAAACATGCTTTTTCCCTGGTCCTATAATGATTTTCTATATCCTGGAGAGTCTTAAGATGACTTTCAATGTACAATAAATAACATTATATTTTTTTCTTATGTGAAGCATACATCATCATTATTAAATATTTTTAAAGCAAATGTGTAAATGAGTGATGCTAAATCCTGTTTTTTTTTTAAAAAAAACTAATTCAGTTAAATGACTATGCCGTGACATTTTAAAATAATATTAAATAATTGTTCAATAATTGCTATGTAAAAGAATTCAGTGTTACACTAAGTGTATGGAGTATAACATCAATTAGCTTCCTTTCAGATTTTATTTTCTTAAAATTTGGTTTCAATATCAAACTATTACTTATGAAATTTTGGGACATTCAATATAAATTAATGTAAAGACCCAAACTTTGTATCTCTAAACTACATATTTCAACTTAAAAGAAGCTTATGATCTCTCTAAAATCAATCATAAAATAATTAACTTCACTCTGTTATGGTATCTACTTTTCTTCCCAATACCATAGCCTTCATTTTTAATAGAACTATGAACTAGTACTCTCGCACACAAATTAACACATTTTCACATTGAACAAAGTAGTTGAAAGATAATAAACTTTAAAAAGCAAAGGGATTTAAATAAATGAAGAGCAACATTATACAAGCTTGACACAAAGCAAGGCCTTTGAAAGTCACCAAAACATCAAGACAATATGTGTCCATGACATGTTCTAGCTCAAAGGACCACTTTCTCAAATGCTTTTCATGAATTAAAAATCTTAAGTTACATAGCTTACAAACATACATACAAACATTTCAAACCTACTAGGAAAGCACAATTTGTTATGATTCTTATAAAGTTTTGCTTTGAAATTATATTTCAGACTAGTTTTTTGCCCATTTTCAGAACTCAATTATAATCTGCTGAGAATCTTTGAAAGTCATGCTAGACACCTGAAAATATATTACTGTAATTTACATGTTTAATATCCAATAGTTTACTTGAGCAATTTTCTAAGTGTTATAATAGGTGCAAATGACACCTGAATTACCAACTGCAGGTGCATACTTCCTGTCACATCTAAGTTCTCAAACAGTATTTCATTGTGAGCCAGCCATATTCTTAGTCCTAAATTCTATGAACTTAAAATTAGTTTTCACTTCGTACTAGGTAACATGTGCATTTATTATTCTACATACATTATCATGGTCCCAAACCACAATGCTAAAAGTTTGGAAATGTAATTAAACAAATCTCTAGAAGGCGGTTACCAAAAAATTTTAAGTCTGTCGTCCAAAAGCATGCTTATAATTTTGTTATTACTAGCAGACTGCTTTAAAATATCTGTCATTTTAAGCTCTGTTAAAGTTTGGCCAGAATTAGCTACACCTAAACCCTGCAGAGACTATTGGAATTTGTCAGGTATTACTGCCAATCCAAATCAGGTAGGAATATATATGACAGTTCCTAACACAGTTTTTTTGACTCAATTTCTAATTTTAAAAAGCAACTATATAAAAATATTTATTTGTATACCTTTTACATTTATTAGAACATATTTTAAACATATATATACAGCATGAGTGAAAAAATAAACAAAGATACTTCTTACAATCAATAGGTAACTCTGTCTATAATCCATAATTAAATTAAACCCATATCCCATCTTTAGAAAGCATTTTTGCCTACTTTATCTAGTTCTAATATATCATCTCCCCCTTGAGACACCTTATTAAATAATTCACATAATTTGTGTTGTTAATTATAGTGTTAAAAGAAAAAGAAATCCACTATTTTAAAAATAAAATGGTGGCTCCTTCCCAGAAGTTCTTGTGGGACACAGAGAGGAAGTGTATGGATTAATTACCTCTCCCAGTCATATGTTTGGAATATTGCTGGGATCAATGGATTTTATGAGAGGCCTAGAACTTCTGACTAGTCTGAAATTTAAAGTTATAGAACCATATAAAATAATCTACCGTAACACTAGAAAATATCTCTCCGAAAACTCATTAGTCTCAGTCTACTAACATGTGTACTAATATTTTTTGATTGCTTTTGTCAACTATTGTAGATCACAACAAGTTTTACAAAGTAATGAATAAAATATTCATTAAAAAATTAACAATATACAATATTTACTTGATAGTTCAAAATTCTCCAAATGAAGACACCAGACAATAATTTTATGTTAAACTACTAAACGAATAGTGAATCCCTCTGAATTATATTTTTGAACTTCAATAGCAATTACCATGAATCAAATTTAAAGCAATATTATGGATTTACCTGATTTACAAAAAAAAAGTGGAAGTAACAAGGGGGGACTTGCTACTACCTAAGACAACAGCAACCAGATCACTTTTATCTGTCTCCAAATACAAAAAGATCTAAAGATGTGTACACGGACAAACAAATACATTTCTCCCCTAAATATGAATTTGATTCTCTAACAAATCAAAGAACATTACCTAATCAATTTTATATAGCTCAACAAATAACATTTAGCAATCCTTGTTTAGTAACTTTTGTATAAATATAAAAATCTCAGATATGTAAAATTTTTTTCAAGTCAGATGTCTATTTTTTCACAGCATTACAGGTAAGTATAATCTGCAAACTTTATTCCATGTCATTGGATATATCTATACAGAAACAGCAAGATAAAAAAAATTAGTAAGTTTAAATAGAACTTGTAAAAACTGATTTAGGACATTTGTGTGCTCTTGCAAAGAGTGCATAGGACATTTTTGCAGCAATCAAAAAGGTAAAATCTTTCTAAACTGAGATTTCAAGTTTCCTTCCATATTTGTTACATATCACAAACCGTCAAACCATTTCAGTAATTGGAACTAATTTAGCATGATGATATCTTCACAGAATCTATAGAAGTCCTCCATGCAAGATTAATGTCGATATTTCTAGTGCACCATCGTGAAAAACCAGTTACATAATATTTTTGGCTATGCTTTAGTAGGATTTCCTGCAGGCTTGGGATCATAACCATATAAGAAAGTAGCTGTTATTACAAGGATGGCTCCAAGGAAAAAGACACTAAATAAGATGAAGGAAAAAATGAAAAAGAGAAAATCAGATTAAAAGCATAACAATTTTTCCTATTTATCTACTATAAAATAATTGTAACTTGGTGAAACAATGATCCAATTTGAATGGCTAATAAATACGGAATACTTATTACGCTATAGGTATTCAGCTAATTGCTTTACTTCCATTACATCATTTCGTTATCACAACAACTGCATGAAGAAGTGCTCGCATTACCTTCATTTTTTATAGATTTAAACAGTTGGCAGAATTCAAATTCAACTATGTATGTATGTCTGACTCTACAGTCTGCACTTTCACTCACTGTACTGTACATATTACACCCCCAAACAAAAATATGCTAACATCGTAATTTTCATTAATAACATCCATTTTGTATATAAATACACTCAATAATAAAATGAGTTGGTTCTATAAATATTTGAAAATATAAAAAGAATATTTCAGTTGTCCATTATCAAATCATGATACATTTTGATTTAAATCCATGGTAATAAGTAAAACTAGGGACTGATATTTTATACACTACTTTACTAAAGGAAATCATATTGAGGGAATTAGTGGTTTCTTCTTTATTCTATTTATAGTTAGAATATACCTTTCTATACAATTTAAAATGAACTTCAACTGGATATAGATCACTAATGTTATTTTTTAATGTGTATATTTTTAAAATGCTGCTGGAGAGACATAAATTAGTCTTGGTTTCAGTTTCTATTAGGGCTCAGGCACTGTGTTGCGACACTTTGAGCCATCACTTGTGATGCCAGCATCCTGTATCAACAGAACTAAGGACTGGCAAGTGCCAGGACATTGTACTTCTGACTCAGCTCCCTGCCAAAGTAACTGGGAAAGCAGCAGAAGATGGTTCAAGTATCCAGAATCCAGCCAACCATATACAAGACCCAGACGGAGTTCTGAACACCCAGTTTTGGGCAAGACCACAAGATGTGTTGTCATTTCTCCCATTAAATAAATAAGTAAATTAATAAATAAGTCTATCAATAAAACAAATTTACTTTCCTGATTTAAAACAATCACTCCATAAAGCAAGAGGATCATGAATCCCTACTATGAGATCAAAAAATGCTACTTTCTAAATCTGGTCTCTCCAACCACATCCTTTCTATTTAACCTCACCCCAATCTATACTTCAGCCACCAAACTCAGTAAGCATAAGGCGCTCCTTCATGATAGTGTCTTCATATTGCTATTCTCTCAGTCTATAATTAATTTCTTTTGTCCCAAGAAAATTGTTTACTCATAAAAAATGAAGTCTAATATCTTGAAAACTACAGCCCTTTAGACAGAAGTCTAAAGGAATCATTGTATCTCTTTCATTAAGAAAAACAATTTTTTTCTTAAAGATTATTTGAAAGGCAGAGGGACAGAGAGGAGGCTGAATTAAGGTGGAATTGAGTCAGATCTTCATAGAGAGAAGAGAAAAGACATGGCTGAAATCAAGGGAATAAATAAATTCCAAAAGGAATAGTCAGAAAGGTTTACATGTAGCACTTCAGAAAAGACAAATAATAGTCTCAGGTGGTAGAACAGGGACAGCAAAGGCAAATCTATTACTGCACATGGAATAGACTTGGATGATGACAAGAAGAACTTCCCAGATTAATTCCTTAACAATATATTCCTCATCAAAAATGAGACTGCATAAAGTAGAGGGCTAAGTTATCTACTTTAGAAAAACACAACCCACCTTCTCCCTCTGGCAAAACATTCCTTCATTTTCATTCATGCAGTCACTCACTCAATTCCCATATCCTTGTCTTTTTATCTTGATCCCAGCATCCTCAGATACTCCCTTAGAAGCACGAATTGACTGCCAATTGACTACTCTTCTGCTCCTCTACTGTCTCACTTGTTTCAATGATTTAATTTCCTTGGTTAAGGTTTTTTATTTGTTTGTTTTTAAAGAAAGATGGGTCTTTTAAAGTATATCCTGGAGCCAGTGCTGTGACAGTTGAGTAGGACACTATCTGTGGTGCCAGCATCCCATACAGATGCTGGTTTGAGTTCTGCTTGCTTCAGTTCACCTCCAGTTCCCTGCTAATGAGCCCGGGAAAGCTGCAGAAGACAGCCCAAAGGCTTGTATCCCTGCACCCACATAGAAGACTAAAAAGAAGCTGGCTTTTTTCTGCCCTTTCAAATAAATAAATCTTTGTGAAAACTAAAAAATGTGAAAGTTCTAAACATTCTGAAATAACATTAAATCACATAACGAACAAGGAAGGAAGCATATTTAAGACAAAGTGTTAACTGCTGTGTTAGCATCACTAAGTGTTGATCTCAACATGCAGGTAAAAACAGAAACACTTTCCAATTTTCAATACAGAAAAGTTACAGATCTCAACATGAATTCCGCAGTCTACTCTCTAGGTTTTAGACAAGAATGGAATGCACAAATATTTAAAACAGTAAATAAATTTTTCTACTACCACATTTTATCTGTAATCCTGCTTTCTGTAACGATTGGATTTTCTTAGTTTTTAAAATTTTAAATCTTCAGCATTAACAAACTGAGTAGCTACTATATGTGCTAAACAATAGCCTCTATTTATTTATCAAATGGTGACAAAATCTTCTTATGAAAGTACAGAGATGGATATTTACTTATTTAGGGAAATCTAATGATAAAGTGGCATTTGAGCCAACCAAGAATTCATGCCATGTGAACATGTAAGGGATCAGTATTCAAAGATGGAAAGACCAATTGAAGTCCACAGCAAAGGAGTAATTATTGCTTAAAAGAAAATAAAGAAAGGCAGAGTGAAGTGGTGGAGAGGGGAGAGAAGAAATAGAGGGGAGGGAAGCAGGAGGTAAAAGTTGAGGGAGCCTGGGGAAGGGAGGGGAGAGGAGGAGGAAAAGAGACTAGAAAAAAAACTTAAAGGGAAAGAAGGAAGAAACATCAGGTAAGTATTAGAACAGTAACTGAGGGTGCATCAGATAGGTCATGGACCAATGCCAATTTTTGGGTTAGGTGGGTTTCCAAGCATAGTTAGTACTGATGTAATCTGATTTATACTGAAAAAGAGTAATTCTGATTGCTAACAGAGAAAACTGGAGTTACAGGACAAAAGAGACAAATTAGAAAACTCTCCTATTTGCTTAAAGGCAGAAGTACAGAAGAAGAGAGGCAGAGAGAGGCAGAGAAAGGCACAGAGAGGCAGAGAGAGAGAGAGAGAGAGAGGAAATGAGAAAGAATCTTTCCTCTAGGGGCTCATAAATGCCCACAAAAGCAGGGCTGGGCCAAAGCCAAACGCCAGAAGCCTCTCCCAGTCTCTTATATGGGTGCTGTGAACCAAGCACTTGAGCTATCTTCTGTTGCTTTCCCATGCACGTTAGCACAGATCTAGACTGGAAATGCAGCAACTGGAACTCGAACTAGCACCATGCGGGAATGCCACCACTGTCCCCAGAGAACTAATTTTTAATTCAGATAAGAAATGAGAGTGGCCTAGACAAAAGAGGTTGTAAGAATTGGTCAGATTCTTAAGGTGTAAAAAAGAAGACTTCACACGAATTGCTTCTGAATTAGAATGATGTGTCAGAAAATAACTTCATACATTTTGGCCTCTTTTGTAAATCAATCGGCATCCCTATGAACAGACATTATCTTCAGATTAACATGGTTAAACCACAACCTTGTTTAAATCAAGGGAGATTTTTGGCCTAAGGAACTGAAAGAAAAAAAAGTGCTGCCAGTGACTAATCTAGTAGACATTACAGTGAAAATAGGTAATGAGATACACACACTTGGAATTTAAATTTAGATGAGACCTGTTAGCATATAGAGGATGTTTTAAAGACAGATCACCAAGATTGTGGCTGCAGACAAAGACCCCAAGAAACTTCCAAGTTTAGAGATTAAGTAAATCAGGAAAGGGATTTCAGAAAAACAAAATAAAAAACGCCCCCCTGGCATCCTAGAAGTCATTAAAATATAATTCCAGTAGTCCAGGATGATAAAAAAAAAAACAAAACAAAACAAAATAAAAACTAGTATAACCTATAATAATACTGGGCATTCATTATGCTTAATTCTTTCAAACCTGTCTACTCGCTTGGCATCTGCTGAGTCTCCCGTCACACCTACAACTTGTTTGCAGTTTCTTTCCAAATCTTTCTTCTCGCTGCTGCCACCTGAGTTTCTTTATGAGCCATAAACTATCTCTCTAAGAATGTCATCCACTGTCCTGGCTTTATGTAAATCCAGCACTTAAAAATGTCTGGGTTGAGCCCGAAATTGTGGCACAGTGGGTGAAGCCTCCACCTGACATGTGTGTGTCCCAGCTGCTCCATTTTTGCTTCATTGCCTTACAAAGGTACCTCAGATACCAGTGTATGATGACTCAAGTGTTTGGGTCTCTGCCCCTAATAGGAAACCAGGAAGAAATTTCTGGATTCTGGCTTAAGCCTGCCCTAGCCCAGCTGTAGCAATTGCTAGGGAGTGAACCCGCAGATGAATGCTCTTTCTCTAACTTTGCCTTTCAAATAAATAGAAAACCCGTTAAAAAAAAAAGTGTGGAGAAGCCAGGACAACATCTAGGCACTTCAATATGGAATGCTTACATACCAAGCATTGAATCACCCTGCTGCACCACACACCCATCCCGTGATTAAACTGTTCTTTTTTTTTTTTTTTTTACTTTAAAAGGAAAAACATTCAGATCTATTGCAATAGTCAAATTTTTATAAAACAGTTTCTGGTGGAAGGTTTTCTTTCAAGCATTTAATTTGAAATGTTTAGAGATGGTTACATTGATTTTAAAAATTGTATTTCAATGATTTCCCTCCAAATTTTAATAGAATAAAAATAACCAGATTATCTTAGGAAAAGTTCTTATCTTTCTATATACTTTTGGGAAATTAAAAAAATATATGTTTTACCTGGTTGGCACAAAATCTTGTAGCCAAAAATAGGAGATCAGTGTTGATAATATTATTGATAAAGATGTTGCAAATCCTTTTAAAATATTATCTGCATACTTAATAACAGCAGCCACGACAAGGCCTCCAAGTGCCTGTAAAAATTTTACAACACTATTTTTAAAAACAAACATAAAACTGCTTTTGAAAACAATCTGATTATTTAACAAAGCTTAGGCTTCTGCCCTATAAATTTAACCCAATTATAAAGAATGATCTGTAGTCATTTTAAATACTTCACAACCCATACATTTCTAGGTTTAGTTCAGTAGCCTTATTTTAAAAGGTGTCTAATAAAGTACTTACCAAAGCAATCTGGAGTTTTGTTACATCTGCAGGTGTATCATATTGGGAAATAAACAGTTATCCTCAATAAATGTTGTAGTTATATATTAAATGTGGGAAGACTGGTCAATATGAATATTGAAATGCTTTCACTTTTGAGTAAAACTTCAGTAATCCAAGTAGTTTTACTAGTATTTGAACAGTCTCCTCGCATGGCTTTCTCCTTACTATTCCATTTCTCTTGTGAGATTATTCTCTTTGAGCACAGTTTAAAGCATGTATTTTATAAGTGTATAAAGAACTCAAACTGTGGCTATTTAGGATTTTACTATACAGGTTGAACATCCCAGTGTGAAAATTCGAAATTCAAAATGCTCCAATGTTCCAAACTTTTGAGCATTGATGTAATACAACAATTTCACAATTGATCTCATGTAATAGATCTTAGTCACAACATAAGTACACTAAAAATATTTGGTATAATTACCTTCAAGCTATTTTTACAAGATATTTACAAACCAAATAATTTCTTAGTTTAAACCTGGGTCCCACAATTAAGACATTTCATTATATATGAGGATATATCGTGTCGGAAAAAAAAATATTTTAAACTCTATGCAGTTTTTTCATAACACGAATTTTTTAAGGTCCCCATCCATGAATTTTAACTTTCTGCACAAAATTATCTACATTTTATCTCTGGTTTTTTTGTTTGTTTTTTGTTTTACATTTTATCTCTAGTTTTTAAATGAACTTTGATGCAAATATATAAAATTCAAAAGGATAAAAACGGAAAAAAAATCAGAAATGAAAAAGAAGCATTTTAGTTAGCAGGTTCTTAACATATGCTACATAGCCCTGTTTTCTGATTACTTAACTGCCAATCTGGGCTACCCACCTTTAGAACTCTTTACTGCATTTCTTCAATAAAGGAAACAATTTTAAAGAAAATCTCAAATTATACCAATTAGATCTTCTACAAATCAACTATGGGTAACAACATTTCTTGACAATGTGTTCATTCATCTATTTACCTCCTACTGAACTGCCTCGTATCAGTTACACCAAATTGTTTATGGTTGGCTCAAGTCTTTAGCCCCCTTTTATGGGAAGCTGGCTTTTTTGCTTAAGTAAAATGTGAGTTTATCACACACTTACTCTCTTGTTTTACCATAATTCCACTCAAAAATTTCTCTCAAATTTTCATCTGTTATTATCTCCGTTACCCTGATCTGCCAAAATAGAAGTCGCCTTTTCTCCCGTGAAAACACAATTATCTTTTGCCACCTTCCGCACACCTGCTGGTAGCTTGCTCTTTATGAATTCAAATACCTTGAGATGAATTAAAGAAGAATTTGAAGGTAGTAAGTCATATCTTAATTTTTAAGTTCTCCAAAGTACTCAATGTCTTTGAAGATGGAATTATTCAATACAAAACAATTTCAAATTATATAAAAACGAAAGCAACTTAACCAGTATGTTCTAATATGTAATTAATATGAAGTTAAACTATTCAAAATTAAGAATCTTGAATCTTAGAATCATTAGATTCTTGAATCTTAATGAGCTAACCACAGAATTCCTGCATAACGATAAAAGCTAAAGAAAAAAGTTATGCTTGCTTTCAGTTCCAACTATTTTATATTAAATTTGCATTTTATTATCCTAAATTTGAGTATCTCAGAATTCATTTATGATGTGTTTCCAAAATTAGGTTTCATCTTTCTATTTTATCTTTCTTGAATAAACTAGATAATAGCACTATGCAGGAGAAATGCTTTTTCCCCTTCAATCAGTAAATCCACAGCCACTTTGATTTTCTATATTAAAATAACTTATTAGAAATAAACAAAAGACTTATAGTGCTTTACCTGAAGAACAACTACTATCCAGGTCAACTGGTTATATCCCTGAAAAAATCCATTCTTTGATACCAATTCTCCATCATAAATGTATACAGCCATTAATCCAAATATACTCCCAAAGAAACCTAAAAAAAAAAAAAAGAATCTATATTATATGCCATGTGGTTTTTCTGAGAAGTTGTTCTTTTGCTGATATTCCAAATTATATTATTTTCTTTTCTTTTTGACTACTTTTATGTCTTACCTGGACAATAATAACATTTAACATAAGAGTATGTTAAGATTTCAAAACAAAGAATATTTTAAAAAAGATTATCTATTTTGGAGCATTAAAATAATATTCATAAATTACATAATTGATATGAGTCCCAAATACTTATCAAGCACTAATTTGGGTACATGTTGTTGTATCTTACATTTTCCTAATGCTAGGTCTATTTTGGTTATACAGATATATAATTCCAGGCATGTAATACAGCACTTTTCCCTGTTACATGTTTTTTAGGGACCAGCATTGTGGAACAGTGAATTAAACTGACCTGCAATGTCAACATACTACATGAGTGCCAGTTTGAGTAGTTGTTCCTCTTCTGATCCGGCTCCCTGCTAATACACATGGGAAAACAGAGGAAGATGGACCAACTGCTTAGGCCCCTGCCACCTACATGGAAGATACAGGCAGAGTTCCAGGCTCCTGATTTGTTTCAACCATACAGAGCATGAACCAGTGGATAGATTTCTCTTTTCTCTCATTTTCTTTTTCCTGCCACCCTACTCTGATGCTATTCCCTTTATAAATAAACACTTGTTTTCCTTTTTCTTTTTTCAGAGTGGGCTGGGGTAGGAACAGGTTAAACCTCTGCTTGGGACATATGCACCCAATACTGGAGTTTGTGATTTGACTCCCATTTCTGCTTTCGATTTGGCTTTTTGATCTTAGAAAGTAGCAGATAAGGGCTCAAATCCTAGGGTTCCTGTCATGCATATGGGAAACCTAGACTTCCTGTTTCTCGCTTCAGCTAGACCAGCCCCAGCTGTTGTGTGTATTGGAGTAGTTAACCAGCAGACAAAAGACGTCTGTTTTCCTTTCTGCCGCTATCATTCTGTCTTTTAAACAAATAAAACTTTCAAAAGACCGAGTTTAAATAAATACTCATAATTAACATGAGGATCTGTGATGCTGAAGTCTAAACAATAGGAAATGTCAATTCAGTAAGCAGAAATATTATGTCTAATTTACCGCTTGATCTTATAATACATTCTACAACATGACTACTGGATCTAAGAGAGCTAGGCTATGAATGGAAAAAACAACTGCTACTGGAGTGAACACGTATGGGTAATCTTTCGAATATATACAGTTAAAAAAAGCACAGGTGTTGAAGCAATATTTTTCAAATAACTAGTCAATGTATTCCATGACAGAAATGAATTTTAAAAGGATATTAAAAAAATGCTTACATTTTTTTTAATGAAAGATTTTTTTTTCATTTATTTTCCCCTAAAATGCCCATAATATCTGAGGCTAGGACAGATTAACGCCCAAAGGCAGGAACTTCATCCAGGCAGCCCTCATGGATGGCAAGAACCCAAGCGCTTGGGTCATCATCACCTGGTGCCTTCCCAGGAACGTTAGCAGAAACCTGGATCAGAAACAGAGGCGCCGGGACCCAAACTGACACTGAGACAGGCATGCACAAGTCCCAAGCAGCAGCTTAATCGGTTACACAATGTCTGCCCCTAACATCTTCTTCACATAAACTCAATCTTTTAATATGCCTACTTTTGAATGTGAAAGTATTTTTGAAATGTAATTATAAAAACATTTCTGACTGTATTAATTTTTTTTAAAGTTTTTTGTTTATTCTAACCAACAGTGAGAAAGAAAAAGAGAGATCCTCCATCCACTGGTTTACTTCTCAAATATCCAGAATAGTCAGAGATGAATTTGGCCAAAGTCAGAAGCCAAGGGCCCAGCAAGGTCTCCCACGTGGGTAGCAGGAATCCAACCACATATCCCATCATCTGTTGCCTCCCAGGCACATAAGCAGGAAGATGCATCAGAAGCAGGGTGAGTCTGGATCCAAACAACTCCAATACAGGAAGCCAGTACACCAAGTAGTAGCTTACTCTACTGCACCACAATGGTCACACTACATTTTTTGATTTGTAAAAGTAACATTTGGGAAGAGCATCCAGAGGCCCACCTTTCATATTGGAGGGCTTGGATTCATGTCCCATCTGTGCTCCCAATTCTATATTTGTGCTATACCACACTGTAGGAAGCAGCAGATAAAGCGGAAGCGGTTGTATCCCCATCACCTACATACAGCAGACCTGGAGGGTGCCTATGCTCCCACCTTCAGCCCTTGCCACCACAGGTATTTTGAGACTGAACCATTAGATGGGAGTTGTCTCTCTTTCTCTCTCCACATACACACAAATAATTTTTTTAAATAACACATGATAATCACTAAGAAACTTAATACACAAGGATACATATAAGCTATACATATCAGTATATACAGATCTACTGAACAGTTGAATAATATTTCATTGTCTGTAAGATAATATTAAACAAGACTTTATATCAACATTTTTAAGGGCTCTAAACATATTAATTCACTACAATCCTTCCAGGAAATTTTTGCATGCTGATTTTATAGATAAAAAAAATGGAAAGACAGAAAATAAGTAACTGATCTAAGTTCATACTACTGGCAAACAATTAACTCAAGATTCAAATGGAATGTGGATCTAGAGTACATGATCTCGACCTCTTAATCATTCAAATATAGTCCTCTTAAATGTTTTCTTTGTTATACTTGCAATCACCACTGAAATGAATAACTTTGGAAGTCTTTGTTCTCTTCTGAGGATAATTTTTGAGGTATGCAATTATATCAAAGCTTACATTTATTTAACATTTATAAACCTTTGGAAATAGATATACATCAATGTTATTAACTACACTCTTAGCATCCACCCAGGTAACAGGGGGTCTATTTCCTTCTCCTCCTTCTTCCTTTAAAAAAAAATATATATTTTTTTTTATTAGAAGGGCAGATTTAATGAGAGAAAGAAACAGAGAACTTCCACCTGCTGGTTCATTCCCCAAGTAGCTGCAACAGCTAGAACTGAGTCAATCTGAAGCCAGGAGCCAGGAGTCCCCTCCAGATCTCCGTGGGGGTACAGATCCGGGCCATCCTCTACTGCCCTCCCAGGCTACAATCAGGGAGCTGACAGAAAATGGAGCATCCAGGACATGATCCCATATAGGATCCTGCCTGTGCATGGTGAGGATTTAGCCACTCGGTCACCAATTTGGTCCACAGAGTTCCTATTCTTTACCCTATGCTAAAATTTGATCTCATCAACTTGTTTATCATTAAAAAACTGCTGTTTAGAAATACTATTACAACGTTTTACCTTTTTCTGACACTCTAAATTGTCCCTACTTCTTTACAAACCCTTTCAAAGCTTTCAGATACCTTACTATTTTCTTTTTCATGATACAGTTCCATGGGCACAGGGATTTCCCTTCCCTCCTTTCCCCACATTGTGTTTCTCCATAGCATTGCAATAGTGTAGCCCTTCAGCAACAGTCAAGTCCATGAGTCTGATATTTAAGTGAGCCACAACATTGCAGGCATAGAGAATGCTAGAAAGACCAGCACCTTATTGTCAAGATACATTTAACAGTTTCATTCAGAGTCCTCCTTTTATTTGAAGTAGAAATGCATACTTCAACATATCTTCATTTCCCAGTATTCTAGTTTCCATTACACCTTAATATTTTTCTCTTAGCATTATGCTATCAGATCAAACAGTAAGCGATGCATGAAGAACCACAGAATAATGAATTCTGACTTATCTTCCATTTTTATTTTATAATTTAAGAAATTTTGGGGCAGCTCATACAATCTTGAATCTTTTATTTAGGAGTCAGTAATAGCTCACATTCATTAGTGCTTTCATCATATATATGCAAAGTGCTTTATTCTAAATATTTTACATGTATTATCTCATTTAATTCTCATAGTAACATGTGAAGTAGATTAAAGAAATGAGGAAGAGAAAAGCTAAGTAAGTTCTTTCAGGTCACAGAGATAGAAAGGGATGAATTCAGGATTTACAGACTGACTTTCAAATAAATCTACTGTATATACATATATTCTTTTTGAAACAGGGGATGGAACTGCTTAATGGTTATATAGCCTGTGGACTTCAATACAAACTAAACAAAAAGAAGCTAATTAAATTCTCCTTTACAAATAATTCCCTTAAATGTTCTTGGGCAAAGAAGAACCATAATTTCTACAATTTTCAGAGAAATTTAATTCCTGATAAAATGACGGTTCAGATATAAACATTTTTACTTCTATTTGACTGAAAGAGACAGATCTTCCATTCACGGATTCACTCCCCAATAATCTCAGCATTGAGGGTTAGGCCAAGCCAAAGCCACACACCTGGAACTCAATATGGGAGGCTGGTAAGAACTCATATACTTGAACATTTGCTTCCTGCCTTCTGGGGTGTACTTTAACAGAAAACTGGAATAAAAACACAGAGCTGAGACTCAAATCCAGGCACTCCAACATGGAATGCAGGCATCCCAAGTAGCAGCTTAATCACTTATAAAATGTTCATCAGGAAGATTCAAGTTTATCATTATATCACTTGAGAAAATAGATGGAAGAACAGAATTTAATGAAATTCAGAAGGTCTGACTTAAAATGCAGGTCAACAGGAGTACAAACAATTTACCACATGGGATCTGGAGGCAATGTATGACTAAACAAAAGGGACATAGTGGATGTCTGAGTGGATGTGGACAGAAAAAAAAAACTAGTGGTTTCAATGAAAAGCCCCAAAGTCAAAAAGACAGAGGTTAACCAGGGTGCGATGACTTGCAAACAGCTGCTTCCCACACGCAGAGTCTTATATAGTGCTATCCAAATAAATATGTGTCAGAATACTAAATGCCAGAATTGTTTATGAGGATTTAAAGGGTGCAGCACCATAAATGGCCTGAATATTTTCTCAAAGGCAATACTTCAATATGTAGAATTTTTTATTTTTATTCACCTTAAGTTAGAAATTTGCTGCAGTATTTATAAGCTGAAACTTGGTACTTTCCATCTAAAAGATTTTAAAACAAGTTAATCATTTCAAACTTTCTCCATTCAAGTATGTCAATACCCTTCTCCAGGAGTAAAATGTGTAGGTTATCTGCAACAACTTGCAGGAAAGGGCCCAGCGCGATGGCACAGTGGTTAAGGTCCTCGCCTTGCACGCCAGGGATCCCGTATGGGCATTGGTTCTAATCCAGGCTGCCCCGCTTCCCATCCAGCTCTCTGCCTGTGGCCCGGGAAAGCAGTCCAGGATGGCCCAAAGTCTTGGGACCCTGCACCCGTGTAAGAGACCCGGAAGAGGCTCCTGGCTTCAGATTGGCTCAGCTCCAGCCGTTGCGGCCACCTAGGGAGTGAATCATCGGATGGAAGATCTTCCTCTCTGTCTCTCCTCTCTGTATATCCGGCTTTCCAATAAAAATAATTTAAAAAATAAATCTTAAAAAAAAAAACTTGCAGGAAAGAAGTGACAACCAAGGAAAAAGTTAGTAAGGCTGCAAGAGGTGAGGAATGAAAGAAACCATTTGCCCTATGTCACATACCAAAAATCTATGCCCATTTTGTTGGTTTGCTCTTTGAGAGGCTGAGACTTTCCTCTACTGCTTGACTCCCTAAATACTCACAATAGGCAGGGCTGGACAAGGATAAAGCCTGGGGCTGGCATGTCAACCCAGGACTCCAGGGAGTGGCAGGCAGCAGTCACCTGAGCTGGTACTGCTCCTCCCAGTGTCTTTACTAGTAAGAAGCTGGAGTCAAGAGCAAGAGTCTAGCATTGAATCCAGGCACTCAGATAAAGTACATAGAATGTCTCAAGTAACAAATTGCCTATCCTGAAAGTCTATATTCTTCCATAAAAGAATGCATTTAAAATATAGGTTTTGGGGCCACGCGTGGTGGCCTAGCGGCTAAAGTCCTCGCCTTGAACGCCCCAGGATTCCATATGGGTGCCGGTCCTAATCTCGGCAGCTCCACTTCCCATCCAGCTCCCTGCTTGTGGCCTGGGAAGACAGTTGAGGACAGCCCAAAGCCTTGGGACCCTGTACCCATGTGCGACACCTGGAGGAGGTTCCTGGCTCCTGGCTTCAGATCGGCACAGCACTGGCCATTGCGGTCACTTGGGGAGTGAATCATCAGACGGAAGATCTTTCTAGCTCTCCTCCTCTGTATATATTTGTCTTTGCAATAAAAATAAATCTTAAAAAAATAAAATACACGTTTTTAAAAATGGGAAAACACTGCCACACATTTCGATCAACAGATGTTTATACAAGGCTTAAACTAATCTTTAAATTCAACAATATATTCAATTTAAAAAGTAATATTACAAAACATTTCAAACTTACCAAGCTGAATATTTCTTATCCATACTGATTGTTTAGTTTCCTTTAAGATTTTCTCAAAGTAAACACCAGCAAAGCCACTTGAAAAACATGCTGTGAGAACTGCCATGAGGCCTACAAATTGAGAGCCAGCTGAGAGTTCCTTGGAAACAAGCTCCTGAGAATCTGAAGGCCACTGAATTAGAAAAAAAAAAAATCAAGTTTAAGCCCCACAATACTTTACAAAGGGCATTACTAAGAGTTACTCTTCGACTTTAATACAGAAACTTGTCCATTATCCATCTTAGGGATTGCCTAGGAGAGATTTTGAAACAAAAATTCACAATCATTTGTTTTTTTCCCCACAGTGAGATTACTAGAACCTATAACTTTAAAAAGTCTCTAAGGGATAATAAATATCTACTTCATGAAACAAATTTATTATTAACCAATCTATTAAGGGGACGATGTCATGGCATGGTGTGCCAGTTAAGCCTCAGCTGATGATGCCAGCATCTTACATGGGTACCAGTTTGAGTCCTTCCTTCTTCACTTCCAACCCATCTCCCTGATTACAGCCTGAGAAAAAAGCAGAGGATGGCTTAAGTCCTCAGGCCCATGAATCCTCACAGAAGACCTGGAGGAGGCTCCTGGCTCTGGCTGGGACCAGCCCTGACCATTCTGGCCATTTTGAGAGTGAACCAGCAGATGGAATATTTTCTCAGGGGGAGAGGGGGTATGTGTGGGGTGTGTATGGTGTGTGTGTGTGTGTGTGTGTGTGTGTGTGTGTGTGTGTGTGTGTGTTTCTCCTCTCTGTAACCCTGCCTTTCAAATAACTTTACAATACTTTTTAAGGCTAAAAAACAAAAAGATCATTCTTTAAAATGTAATTCTCTAAAGATCACTATTTCAAACACAGGCAGATGAAGGATGAGAATCTTGGATTCCCTGTTATCTCAGCAAAAGCTGAGAGAGAGAGAGAGAGAGAGAGAGAGAGAGAGCAATTAGAAACGTGTAAAATCAAATAAGCTCAATCAAACGTCATAGATTAGCAGACTGGATTAAAAATCAAAACCCATTTACTTGTTGTCTAGAAGAGATACATTTCACCAACAAAAATCAGCAGAAACTATATTGCATGGGTTTTGATGTTTTCTATTATTTCTTCAAAACACTTTCTTCTGATTAAATCATTCAATGACTCATAGATCATACAGTAGCATCATTTTCTGCAAGAAGGTTCTTGATTTTCATTTCTTCAGCTACACGTTCGTAATTTAGTAGCATGTTATTTAACTTCATGGTGTTGTTAATTTCTTTTTTCTTCCTGATGTTGATTTTGTTTTGTGGCTTTTCATTTAAGGGGATGTATAGTAGCTGTGTAATGGAGACTGTCATATCTAGTAACATGTTATTTAACTTCATGGCATTGTAAATTTCTATTTTTCTTTCTATTGCTGATTTTGTATTATGACTTTTCATTTGAGGGGATGTTCAGTAGCTGTGAAATGGAGACTAACTTATCCAGATGTGAGGACACACAATGTAGTATGCATTCCTACTTCCAGACAAAGATGGACTTGCAAAGAAACTGTTTACTACATCTAGACAATTGAATGCTGGACTCTCTGCCATTGTCCATGCCTGCCATGATGGACATATGACTGTGTATGAAGATCTATATGTTAGTAATAATATAGAGGAACTAGGTGGGGGGGAGGGAATTGGGTCTGGGATAAGGGAAATACCAGGAGCTTACGGAACTGTATCATAAAATAATAATAGTAAAAATAAATAAAAGTTTTTAAAAAATCAAATACAACAAAGGAAAGCTATAAATTAGCAGGTAAATCCCAAACAAGGTCAATGAGAGACAGGCCATCAGAAAATGAAGGAAATCTTGGCTACAGCAGGAAAGAAATGTGTTAGAAAGGATGCCATGGTCATCATGCCCTATGTTTAGACGTTATGGACTCTTAGATATCAACCAATATTTTCTTAATGATTTTTTAAAATGTATTTATTTTTTATTGGAAAGACACATAAGATTTACAAAAAGGAGAGACAGAAGAGAAAATTCTTCCATGTGCTGGTTCATTCCCCAAATGGCTGCAAGGGTCAAAGCTGAGCCAATCCAAAACCAGGACCAAGAAGCCTCCTCTTGGTCTCCCACACAGGTGCAGTGTTCCAAACACTTGAGCCATCCTCCACTGCTTTCCCAGTTGTTACAGGTAGAATCTGTAGCATAGTGAGCTAAGACTCAGCCTGCAATGCCAGTTCGAGTCCCATCATCTCCATTTCTGATCCAGATCCCCACTAATGGTGTGGGAAAGCAGTGGAGGATGGCTCAAGTTCTTGGGCCTATGCACCCATGTGAGAGACCCAGAAGAAGCTACAGGTTCCTGGCTTCAAATGACGCAGCTAAGTTGCTGAAACCATTCAGGGAATGATCCAGTGGATGGAGGAAGCTCTATTTCTCTGTTTCACTCCTTCTTTTTAACTTTGCCTTTCCAGTAAAATAAATAAATCTTTAAAAATTTTTTATTTTCACTGGAAAGGTAAAATTACGAGTGACAGAGAAAGATCTTTCATCTGCTGGTTCACTCCCTAGGTGAGCACAATGGCCAAAGCTGAGCTGATCTGAGGCCAGGAGCCTCCTCCAGGTCTCCCATGTAAGTACGTCGTCTCCAGGTCCAAGGGAACTGGATGGGAGGTGGAGCAGCCAGAACATGAACCAACAACCATAAGGGATCCCAGCATGTACAAGGCAAGGATTTAGCCACTGAGCCATCATATCAGACCAAATTTTTTTTTAATGGATAAGGCTCCCCAAGATTCATTGGAGTGTCCATGTTCAACTGTTTAGTTTTATTTGGCAACCCTCTGCCTAACAATGCTTACAGACCTGTTCAAGACCACATTTTCCAAAATGCTTTATTGTTTCTGGAAAGGAAAATTCTATAAATATTGCTTTAACTTGAACACAAAGCAGCTTTTTTTTTTTTAAATTAGGACTTATTTTGAAAAAGAATTTGAGTTTAATTCAAATGTATGCCTGTAACACTCCAAAGTAAGGTCATATTTGGAGATAGCTATTGTGATCAGATGACTTGGGGGAATTTCTGGAATATTCATATTTGAAGATTACTTATTAATGAATGTCCCTGACTCAAATCTAACCAGAAACTGCAATCTTATTCTTTGTACATTTTCATTATGTAGTGTTAATAAGCTTAGCTGCAAACAAATTACATACATAAGCTATTTATTAAAAAGATTAAAACTAATATCTTGGGATTTGATTATTGTTTTAGAACTTTTCTATTCTCCTGTGGAACATTGGCCTTTCCACCTTTTCACTTTTTGTTCATTATGGTTTAGTGGTACATTAAGCCAAGATTATAAGGTACACTCAAACTGGGCTACTGCAAAATGTAAAAGAGGGAAGGGACAAAAACAAAGAAAGGTTGGAGAACTGAGGAAGAAAAGAGGAAGGGAAGTATTGTATAAGGAAGTATAAGTATTGTTCTTAGAACAATATTTATGAAATATATGAAATCTATTCTCTATAGTAATACAAAAAAAATTTTAGGGCATTAGATCATCACAGATTTGCAGGGAAAAAAAATCACTTCACAATTAGTTACGGAAAAAACGAATATTATGGACCCTGTGGTGGTATGTCAGGCTAACCCTTTGTGTCACTGGCATTCCATATGGCATCAGCTTGTGCCCAGGATGCAGCAGTTCCAACCAAGCTCCCTGTTTATGGCCTGTGAAAGCACAAGAGGATGGCTTTAGTCCTTGAGAACCTGCACCTATATGGGAGACTCAGAAGAAGCTCCTGGCTCCCCAGCTTCAGACTGGTTCACCTCCACCCAGTGTGGCCATTTTGGAAGTCAATCAGGGGATGGGAGATCTTTCACTCTCCTTCTATCTGTAAATCTGTCCTTCAAATAAATAAATAAATACATCTTTTAAGAAAAGAGAAGGTGGGCATAACACCAGATGCCTTCCACCACTGCTTATTTTAAAAATGTATTTTTCCTCATCTTACATTATATTTACATATTGCTAATTAGGCACTAGAAACAGAAGGAGCAATGAAACACAGCTGTTGTCTTCTATGAATTTATGGTGTATTGATAGATACGGACCATTAAGAAGCATCTAACTACAAGTAGCATGGGAACATACACACAAACTACTGAAGTAGCAAAAAGGGGGTAAATGATCAACTGGGATGTTTGTAAGATATTCTTGTAGAAGTAAAACTTCAACTGAGTCTTAAAGTAGATTAGCCAGGACAAGAAAGAGAATTCATTCACCAAGAGAGTGAGAATGAATACAGAGGCCCAGAATAGGCACAACAAGCAACTTGGTTGTAAAAACTGAAAGTGTGACTTGTGGCGCAGTAAAAGTGAGCTGGAGGCTAACAGTGTAGCATAGTGTGTGATTATAACCATTCTAGACTGTAAGTCAGTGAAACATCAGATTTTTTACCTAAGACGTTCATTGTTACTGCTAAACCCATGCTACACTTGTACTATTAATTATTTAATAACTTAAAGTATTTCATTTTAAAATCTTAATACCTATCTTACCTTGTCCTAAATAATACATGAGAATATGGGTATAATATCCCACTTATACCTTTATAACTATTTAAAATCATTACATAAAAATCTATTAAAACATATACTACACATTGAGAAAAGTAATGGGAACCTACTGGATGACAGAAAAGTGATCTTTCTGCATTTTAGTTGATTTGTTTTATTTTAATGTTATTTATCTGAAAAGAGAAGGAGGTAGAGAAGAAAGATATCATCCATTTGCTAATTCACTCCCCCAAATGCATCCAAACAGCTGGGGTTGGGCCAGGCCAAAGTCAGGAACCAGAAACTCCATTTGGTCTTCCAACATGGGTGGCAGAGACCATATACTTAATCCATCCTTTACTGCCTCTCACGGTACAATTTAGCACAAGCTGGTCAGAAGCTAATGGACAGGGACTCAATCCCAGACACTCAAATATGGGATGTGGCATCCCGAGCAGTGGCTCAACTACTACACCACAATGCCAACCCTAGATTTTATTTTATAGATGCCACAATAAGTGACAATATTGGAGGCTGGATGTGGGGCAATGGGTATAAAACCGGGTAAGAAAAATTAGGATGGAAAGATCATGTAAGAAATAAGGAAGGCATGAATCAAAGAGTAACAATAGAAACAGACAATGAGAAAAAGCATTAAGTCGTAAGTTTAACTTTGGATATGCTGAGTCTATTGTACAAATAAGTAAAAACATCCAGCAACTTCCCAGATATACAAATCTGAAACCACAGATGACAATCACAGCTGTTGACACAATCTGAGAAGTCATTAGCACATCAGTGTTAACAAAAACCTACAGAATTATTTCCCCAAATCAGAACATAACTTAGGTTTTTTAAAAAAAATAATAAGCCAATAAGCAATCCCAATACAAAAGAAAAATCAAACAAGATGAGCACATGCAGCAAATCAATATGGAATCATTAGAAAAAACAGTGGTTATCAGTGAAGTTGACAGACCATAAGAAGTGAGTGGCTAGCTAATGTCAACTGACCCACCAAGCCAGTAAAGGCTGTCTTTGTTTTACATGCAGTGTCTTATTTCTACAACCAAATAATTCATTATTTAGGTATGATATTTTATTTTAACTTATTTCTTTAGAATCACTTAACTTTAAATGTAGTATATTATACAGGAAAAGTCCTCAGAAATTTGTCAATAACGAAAAAGGCATTTACTTTTTCAACAAGTGATATAAACATACAATCTAGGCAAAATAAAATATGCTTTTGAATGTATGTACAACTTCACAGATACTTATATGGAATAGTTACCTGAACAAAAGCCACTCCTGTCATCAAAATTAATAGGGAAAGCCACTGGTACACACCTAATTTTTTACTAAGCATAGACACAGAAAATAATGCTGTTGTAAGAATTTTCAGCTGATATGTGACCTGAAAAAGAAAACAGCAAAATTATTAAGGCCTTTTATTTCTTTCTTAAAAGTAATACTAGAAATATATCTTAAGTACCTGATAAGTAGCTGCATCTAGATTTGACAGAGCCACATAGAGCAAGTTATTCTGAAGAGTGTATATCCCTGATGGAATAGCAAGTTTTAGAGTTTCCATTGGCTTATTAAGAATCTCATCATGCAGGACTCGATTCAGTGTTCTCAAACTACATTCTAGAAAAAATACATGAAATAGAAAAAAAATCAGTAATTAAGGAACTCTGAGTAAGTTACAAATCCTTTCTTTCAGGACCTGTTTTCTCATCTGTCAAAAGAAAGAACCTGAGCATATGTTAAGGTATTTTTAGGCTGATAATATATCTTTTTGGTTCTATTTTCTCAAATGAGAGAAAAGAGAGCACTAGCCTCACATTCTTTCAGATATAAAATCAAATTATTTACATAAGTGGTTATTCCAATGAGTTCATAAAAAATGAAACTAAACTTATTTTGGTGCAAAAATTTTGAAATCCAAAAATATAAGGGATCTTTAAAAAGTTTACACAAAATGTAATTATGAAAAAACCATGCAAGGAGAATCAAACTGTTCCGTACCAAAATAAACTTATCTTCTCTAATTTCATTGTCCATAAACTTTTTGAAGTACCTTCACACATATATACTCACATATACATATCTGTGATAATCAAAAGATCAACTATTCTTTATTATGAACATTTATATTTTGTATATCCCATTTATCATCAACTATTCATGCCTACTAATAACTGGGAAGACTTTAATCATAAAAAAGACTCAATCAGTTAGGGAGTAGGTTTGGCTACAAACAGAACACTCAATTTACACTGGTCTAAGTACCACAGGGGTTTGTCTCACACAAGTCTGGCCTGAACTTGACACAACAGCTCAGGGATCCAGATATATGCAGGCACATATTCATTCATTCATATTTTCTCTCTTTCTCTCCTTACTCCTCCCCTGCCTAGGGATAAAGATAGAAACCCTAGATAGGTAGGTAGGTAGATAGATATAGAAAACCTACATAGAACATAGATAAAGACAGAAAATCTAGATAGATAGATAGATAGATACATAGATACTACATTATTACACCAAGGTCACCAAGAAACTCTGTGTTAGGTAGCAATATGAGAGAAGAGGAAACAACAGCCTAGTGGAAATCTTAACTCATTGGTCAAGAGTTGGTTACACGGTCACCCATCTCTGCAAGAGACTTGAGAAATCAAATCTTTTTATTTTCACATCACGAACAAAAAAGGGAGAAAGATACTGGAAACAGTTACACAGCCTACAATATTAATCACAAAAAAAATCTCCAAGAAACTTTAGAATACACATGAACTGCTCCAGAAAGAAGAAATTCTAAGGAATCATATTAATATACCACTAGTGACTCTTATGGATGATTTACTTTCCAATGTTATACTAAGAAACTTTGATTATAGAGTATGTTGAAATGAGAAAAATTTGAAAGACTGCTACCAGATACCTATAGTGTCGTTACCCACAAGTCAAAAATTATTAGCTGCAAGTTATAAATTTTCTTTAGCTTTGCCAGAAAATAATTTCAAATGTTTACTTTTTAAGATTAAATTCTAAAATAATTAGTGCTACCAAATATTTTTGATACACCACTTTTATTCCACATTCCTCCCAATTCCTAGTATTGAAAGACTTTTTGTTTTTTAAAGATTTACTTATTTATTGGAAAGTCAGATATACAGAGAAGAGGAGAGACAGAGAGAAAGATCTTCCGTCCAATGAATTCACTCCCCAAGTGAGTGCAACGGCTGGTACTGCGCCAATCTGAAGCCGGGAACCAGGAACTTCTTCCGGGTATCCCACATGGGTGCAGGGTCCCAAAGCTTTGGGCCATCCTCAACTGCTTTCCCAGGCCACAAGCAGGGAGCTGGATGGGAAGTGGAGCTACCGGGATTAGAACCAGCGCCCATATGTGATCCTGGGGCGTTCAAGGCGAGGACTTTAAGGCCACGCCGCCGGGCCCTAGTATTGAAAGACTTTTAAGCCCTTTATCCCCTTTTCAAATTAGCTGTTGTCCTTTTCTTGCTGACTTGTAGGTCTCTGTAATTCTAGATATTATTACTTGAACAATGTGGCGAATTAACCTCTCTCAAACTGCGGCTTTTCATCTCATTTGGTTTGATACAGATATTTTAGGTCTTAACATACTTCAAAATATCTATTTCCCTTCATAACTTATTTGTGTCTTTCACATATTATTTATAACCACTGAAGTATAATGGTCATAAAGTTTCATTTTAAAAATGTATTTATTTTTATTGAAAAGATAGATACACAGACACAAGAGGAGATACACAGAGAAAGATCTTCCTTCCACTGGTTTTCTCCCCAAGTGGCTGCAATGGCTCCTGAGACAATCTGAAACAAGGAGCCAGGAGCTTCCTCCAGGTCTCCCACACAGGTTCAGGGATCCAAGGCTTTGGGCCATCCTCAACTGCTTTCCCAGGTCACAAGCAGGGAGCTGGATGGGAAGTGGGGCCGTTGGGATTAGAACCAGCAACCATATGGAATCCCAGAGCGTGCAGGGTGATGACTTTAACCACTACGCTATCGTGCCAGGCCCTGATATTTCAATCTGAATGCTTTAAAGGTATCGCCAATACAGCCCTCAAAAATGCCACAAGTGTTGCCAAATCCACCTTCTTCATCCTGGCCTAGCCCAAGCTGTTGATGGTGACTGAAAGAATGAACCAGCAGGTGGAAGACTGATGTTCATATTTACGTCTCTTCTGTCTCTCTCCCCATAACACTTTCAAAGAAGTATTTAAATAAATAAAATATTTATCAACATTGTATCAAATAAGTCACTGCTATACCAATCAAAGAAAAATAAAATTAAAAGATTCATTTAGTGCCTGTACTATGGAAGTCAGTCTGGAAAGTGCTAAGACAACTGAAAACTTATATAACATCTGACCCAGCTACTCCACTCCTGGGAATATATCCAAATGAAGTGAACTCTGCATATGAGAGTGACCTGAAATCCTATATTTATGGCAGCATAATGCACAATAGCAAAGACATGGAAACAACTCAAATGCCTGTTGAAAGAGGACTGGATAAGGAAACTGCGGTATATGTACTCCATGGAATACTATTCAACCATTAATTCTACTGTTTGCAACAAAATGGTCCCAACTAAAGACCATTATGCTCAGTGAAATAAACCAATCCCCAAACAATATCATATGTTCTCTCCAATATAAGGCAACATTCATGCAAAATATAAACCAAATAGATATACAGATAATTAAGTGTATACACTTATTCTCATAGGTGAAATATATGATGAAGATTAGTACCAGGAAGTGAAGATATCTTGTAGTATGGATTTCTACTCCTGAATCAAGGGAGGGCTCCCAGTGAAACAGTTAAATATACCTCATTAATACAGTGTTGGATTTGCTGCCCTTATCTATACCTACAATTTCATGGTAGCAGAATGTTGAATTTTTAACTGTTTTTGGGGGGCTGTATTGCACTTATAATATGCGGGATGGATAGCGGGAGAGGAAAGGGGAAATACTGATAACCCATAAAACTGTATAATGTAAAATAATAAAAATGATTTTTACAAGGATATAATTGATGTAATAAATATTTCTATCTCTTGAAAAAAAAAAGCCTTTGAATTAGCAAATAATTATTATGACCTCTCTAACAATCTAAGTGTGACAAAATTATGGAATTTATTTTATTCTGGTGTTATTATAATTAAAAAAACAACTATTTCATACTTATAGCAACCAGAAATCACGAATCATGATACAGATTAGCCTAAAATGTCTAAAACTACTAAATAAAATCATTTTAACAAATCTTTAAAAATCTGAAATGTTTTCTATACTAAATATTTATGTAAGAGTTCAAATGTTGTGCCCACCCCTGTGGTGCGGTGAGTTAAGCTACTAGCTACAATGCTAAATATGGGTGCCAGTTTGAGTAGTGGTGGCTCTATTTGCAATCCAGCTCCCTACTAATGTACCTGTGAAAGCACCAAAAGATGGCTGTAATGCTGGGGGTGCTGCTCCCATGTGGGCAACCTGGATGAAGTTCCTGGATCCCGATTTCAGCCTTGCCCAGCCCAGTCGCCACAGTACTTGTGGGAGTAAACCAGTGCACAGAATATCTCCGTCTCCTTTTCTCTCTCTTCCTCTCTCTGCAACTCTGCTTTTCAAATAAGTAGCTAAATCTTTTTTCTTTCCGTTCAAATGCATACTTACCAACATTATATTTACATTTATGTAAATGAAACTGCATTGATTCAAAACAAGAGACCCTAGATACTTACTGTTATCTTTGTAGACCAATAAAATGCATGCCATTATCTTCAAAAGTTCAGCAATAACTACTGCTGTGGAAGATAGATAACGTGGTCCTTCCTCTTTTAAAGTCCTAGAATAACGCATAGTCAGAACCAAGCTAGTAGTCTGAAAGACCAAAATCCCTAAGGAGAGGTATTTCAAGTTGGCAGACATTGTTTTCTCTTCATTTGCCTGAAAGACAAAATAAACAGGACAAATAAGTAAAATTTAAAATAACACTAACACATTAAAGAAAAATAAAAAGACAGTTTCAGACATAAGGCAGTAAGTACATTCCACCCTGTTCTTGCTAATCACAACTGAAAACCTTTAACCTAAGACAAAAACCGAAAGAATGGGAGAGAAAAAGCAGACTGGTTAGAGACCTAGGGTCTTGAGGGAAGACCTAGCAATTAATTCATTGGAGACTTTTTGCTGCCTATAAACATGGGTATGTCACAAAACCCATGGAAAATGGAATTTTGAAAAAGCAGGCATTGGAATTTGAATTCTTTTTTCTCCTTTGTTGCAAATTCACGCTGTGCATTGGAATTTGAATTCTTTTTTCTCCTTTGTTGCAAATTCACGCTGTGGCTATGGTTACACAATAAAGAACGCACGCCGTCTGTAGGTGGGAGTAGACATGAAAGTAACGTTTTCCTTTAATTTCTTTCTATTTATTCATTTTAAAGATCGTCTCTTTATTTTAAAGGCAGAGTTAGGCAAAGAGAAAGAGATTCTCCATCATCTGGTTCACTCTCCAAATAACCACAAGAGCCGGAGCAGGGTTAGTCTGAAGCCAGGAGCAAGGAGCATCTTCTGGGCTTCGCATATGGGTGCAAGGATCCAAGGACTTGGGCTCTCTTCCCCTGTATCCCCAGGACAGCAACTAGGAGCTGGATCAGCAGTGGGACAGCTGGAACTTGACCTAGCATCCATATGGGATGCTGGCACTGCAGGCAGAAGCTTAGCTTGCTACCCATGGCACCAGCCCCTAATTTTTATTTATTTTGATTTGAAAGGCAGAGAGGCAAATCTTCTATCTACTGACTCACTCTCCAAATGCTGCAGCGGCCAGGGTTGGCTGCCTCTCATGCACACCAGCAGATAGCTTCATTAGCACTGAAATACCCTGAACTGAAACCAGGCACTGTGATTTGGGATACAAGTATTTCAAGCAATTACTTAGTCCACACCTGAAAGTGAACAGACTTAGATCCTGAGATGGGAGGCAAAGGATGATGAGGTAACTGCAGATTTTTCTAAACTTCTTTCCTCCTCCCCCTTGGCTGTTGAGTCATCCCTCATCAGCCTTCTGCTTCTGATACTCATCAGCAACACTTCCCTTCATTTTCTGTTTCCCATGTGCCCATGGCTGCCTCAGCCTCTTCACCTTCCTCTCCATTCTCTTCACCATCACCCTTCACATTCTTCCCATTTTTTAAAGATTTATTTATTTTTATTGAGAGGCAGATATACAGAGAGAAGGAGACAGGGAAAGATCCTCCATCCACAGGTTACTCCCCAAGTGGCCACAGCAGCCAGAGCTGAGCCAATCTGAAGCCAGGAGCCAGGAGCTTATTCCCAGTTTCCCACGCAAGTGCAGGGTCCCAAGATTCTGGGCCGTCCTCGACTGCTTTTCCAGGCCACAAGCATGGAGCTGGAAGGGAAGTGGAGCATCCGGGACATGAACAAGCATCCACATGGGTTTCTGATGTGTGCAAGGTGAGGACTTCAACCACGTCTTTTTTCTCTACCTCACTATTGTCCTGCTCCAACGTTTCTCAATATTGTTGCCAAGGTCATCTCTCCTTCGTACTTTCTTCCTTTCGTAAGTCCTTTGGGTAACCTTGCAGCCAATAAGATTTCAAATTAACAAATTGGGAAAATAAACAAAAAAACCTGTATTAAAAGAGCTGTCACCGTGGTGTAGTAGCTCAAGCCTCCACTTGCAGTGCCAGCATCCCATATGGGCATATAGGTACCAGTTCAAGTCCTGACTGCTCCACATCTTGGCCAGCTCTCTGCAATGCATCTGGGAAAACAGCCTAAGAATGCACAAGTCCTCAGTCTCCTGTACCCATGTGGGTACCCATGTCCAAAGAAACTCCTGGCTCCTGACTTTGCACTAACCCAACTCCAGCCATTGTGGTCATTTGAGGAATGAAACAGCAGATGGAAGATCTCTCTCTCTCTCTCTGTCTCTCTAAATCTGCCTTTCAAATAAAAAAAATTAAGCTTTAAAACAAAAATTATATCACCCAAATGCCACCAGTAAGTGAACTATGAACATTTCCATACAACGGAATACTAATCAACAATAACAGAAACAACATGTCAAAAACATACTGACCAAAAAATCAAAAACAATACATATAAACCCATTTATGTCAAATTCTAGAAAAAAATCTATAGTGGCAGTTGCAAACTTATGATTAACTGCAGCCAAGGACTGAGGTTGAAGTTTGACTAAAAAGAGAAAGAAACGAATTTTGGTGGTGGTGGAAATATAGTCCAAGCTGTGACTGTATGATTAAACTCACTTAACAGGAATCACTGAATTACATATTTAAGATGGGTATATTTCACTGTATGCATGTTATTATTCCAACTTCATTTTTAAAATTAAACACTGAAAATACTCTAAGAACATTCCTCACCAAATCTTATTCATAGTTTTGACTGTTGCTGATTTCCAACTTTTACAATCTTTTTGAAATACCCACACAGATTCAGAAAGATTCAGAAAGCATTACTTGAAGCTGACGTTGTGGCTAACAGGTTGAGCAGCCACCTGCAACGCTGGCATCTCGAATGGGCACCAGTTCAAGTTCTGGCTGTTCTACTTCCTATCTAGCTGTGTAAATGCAATGGAGAAAGCAATGAAGAACGGTCCTTGGGCCCCTGTACACATGTGGGAGACCAGGATGAAGCTCCTGGGGCCTGTCGCTGGCATGGCCCAACCCGGGTCACTACAGTCATTTGGGCAGGGAACCAGCAAACAGAAGATCGCTCTTTATCTCTCCCTCTCTCTTTGTAACTCTGCCTTTTAGATAAATAAGTCTTTTTAGAAAAAGCATTATTCAGCTAATTATTATGGTTATAAAGAGGTATATGACTATTCAAAAAGTTTGAAATGTGTATTATGAAAAAAATTACACAAGGTTTTCAAAAAATTTGCATGAACATAAACTCATACCAACTTGCTATAACATGATTGAACTAATCTAATTTGATACAGCAAGGATAAGACATCAGTTTGAAACGATGCCTTAATCAAAGGAACATGAATTCTGCTAAAGTTGAAGAATATAAAATTGATAGCGCAGGTAGGACAGCTGAATGATTAAACTTATAAAATGTAAGATCATCTCTCCCCTGCAGCAGCAGATTACAGGTAACTCATCTGAAGGCGCAGGAAGGACAGGTGTTCTGCACTGCAGCTTCAGTCCTGAGTTGGGACATCCACACCCACTACCGGAACACCTGTCACCTCCACTTCCACTTCAGCCTCAACTGTTGCCCGCCCTGTTAATGCAACAGATAATGCCCCAATATTTTGGATTCATGACAATCATGTGAGACATCAGATGGAGTTTCTGGCTCCTAGCTTCAGCCTGCCCGATCCCTGGCTTTTAAGACATCTGAGAAGTGAATCAGCAAATGGAACCTTTCCAATCTCATTCTTTCTCTTTCTCTTTCTCTCTGGGTCCTTCATAATGTGTCTAGTAAAGCAGCAGAAGGTGGCATAAGAAACTTGGGCCTCTTCCAAATGTGGGGGAGACCCATGTGGATTTCCTGACTCCTGGCTTCAGCCTGGACCAATCTCAGCTTTTGCTGCCATTTAGGGAGTTAACCAGTAGACAGAGGGAATCTCTATCTCTCTCTCACTGCTTTCGCCCTTTCCCATCTTCTCGCTCTCTGTGTCATTTCATCTTCCAAATAAATATAAATAAATATTTAAAAAATTAAGAGACTTTACAAATCACCTCATATAACTATCAAAGATAAACAGATGGGCCCGGCGCAGTGACCTAGCAGCTAAAGTCCTCACCTTGAATGCGCCAGAATCCCATATGGGTGCCAGTTCTAATCCCGGCAGCTCTACTTCCCATCTAGCTCCCTGCTTGTGGCCTGGGAAAGCAGTCGAGGACGGCCCAAAGCTTTGGGACCCTGCACCAGTGTGGGAGACCTGGAGGAAGTTCCAGGCTCCTGGCCTTTGGATCGGCGCAACACTGGCCATTGCAGTCACTTGGGGAGTGAATCATCGGAAGGAAGATCTTTCTCTGTCTCTCCTCCTCTCTATATATCTGACTTTGCAATAAAAATAAAATAAATCTTTAAAATAAATAAATAAATAAATATTTTTTAAAAAGATAAATAGTCAGGGCCAGGATTGTGACAATATCAGGTAAAAGCCACTGCCTGTAACGCCAGCATCCCACAGAAAGTCTGGTTTATGTCCCAGCTACTCCCAATCCAGCTCCTGTTAACAGCCTAGGAAAGCAGCGCAAGATGGCCCACGTGTCTGATCCCCTGCTAGCTTTATGTGAGACTTGAATGAAGCTGCTGGCTCCTGGCTTCAGTTCAGCTTAGCACCAGCTGTTACAGCTATCTGGAGGAGTGAATCAGCACATGAAAAATTCTCTTCATCTCTGTAGCTGACTTTTACAATAAAGAAATAAATTTTAACCAGCTCATATAGTTAGATATCAAGTTCCCTGACTCATACCACATGCTGCTGTGAAATTCCAGGATATCCTGGTGCATTATCTCTATATGGAAGGAAACTAAGTTGCCAGCAACCTTTATTTGGCATCTCTCCTGGAAAATGTCAAACAATGACTTCAAATCTGTTCAAGGAAGTTTTTTGTTTATTCTAAGCAACCAACTCATAATACCTGTTCTAACAGCAATGGTATAACTTCTTTTCAAATGAAAAATTAAAGGTCAGTTTCTAAGACAGGATATATACAATCATAACAATACAGTTTTTTTTAAGTTTTTTTTTAAGTCTTTTAATTGAAAGTCAGATATGCAGAGAGGAGGAGAAACAGAGAGGAAGATCTTCTGTCCATTGATACACTCCCCAAGCAGCCGCAATGGCTGGAGCTATGTGGATCCGAAGCCAGGAACCAGGAGCCTCTTCTGGGTCTCCCACATGGGTGCAGGGTCTAAAGACTTTGAGCTGT